CGAACCCGCCACCCTAGGTGTACGTGGCTGGCGCCCCAGCCAGTTGAGCCACAGGCGCCGAGCCAGGAAAATTTTTAAAGATGAGGATTACATCAATGGTCATTATGGGAAAGTTTAACTCCAATAAGTCCATGAACATCTTGAACATGCCAAACATCCCTTTATTTTTACCAAAGTCAAAAACAATGATGAAAAAATACTAGAATGGAAATTGATACCTGCAAGGCATAAAAACATCTGTGGGATTTTTCCCTTGTGCCTTTGCCTACATTTCAGAAAATAATCACTAAATTAAAAAATCTTCACTTGATGACTCTTAGGGCTACTCACTCACTGACCCTGCTCCTCTTCCTTCTACTGAAGCACTACGCTTCTTGGAGCTCACCTGGACTCTGGCCTTGGATAAAACTTCCTCCTTCTCTTGCAAGTTCCTCTCCTGGCTCCAAATGGGAAAGCACACCTGAGGTGCACAGCTGTTTGCCTGTTTGTGGGGAAAAGATGCACAGATTTTGAGTTCTGGGATGATTAACAGTGCATAGGCATCAAGCATGGGGCATACTCTTAGGACCACTAAGGTAGCCACTGAAGGTCAGCCTAGGAAGAGTACCCTAAAGACAATGCTAACAGTCTTTCATGAGCAAAAGGGATAGCCCTTCAACTTACTCCCCCAAATATGAAAGATCTATAAATGTTAATGGCCATGACTAAGTACAAAGGCAGATTACAGGATCCTCAGTATTTTTAATCAGTGAAAAATTACAAGTCTTTGTAGTATTTCAATATTCTTTCCAAGAAGAATACAATAAACATAAGCTCTATCAGAACAGTCTAGGTTATGTGTGAAACAATCTCTAAAACAGAATAGTTATTTTTACAAACTAAACATATTTATACATTCAAAAACAGTGAATTCCCACTTTTCTGAGTTTTGGGGATTGAGCAGCTAAGAGGGCATGAAATCGTGGTCAAAAAGATTGCCCTCTAGATGAGGTGATAAATATAAGTGAAAAATAAAGAGATAAATTACAGCCAGATAGTTATGAACATTATGAAGGTATAAAGGCAGAATAGAAGTGATAGACAGGACAGTTGTTCTACATACTAGTGGAATGAATCAATGAAAATAAAATATACATGCATAATAAATATTAAGTGACTCACCAATGGAGACCAGATGATTAATGTTCTCTAGCATCACATCTCTGTAAAGTTTCCTCTGGGAGGTGTCCAGCAAGGCCCACTCTTCCTGCGTGAAGTCTACAACTATATCCTTAAAGGTCATGGGTCCCTGAAACATTAGGAACACTCTGCTTAAACCTGCCCACCTCTGCCCACATAAAGTGGAGTATGGTCAAAGTGATGGTATTCAGGAAGTGGGGTTGGTAAGAATAGAAAGCACAAGTGATGTTTGGAGTTCCAGTCACACTATCTTCATTCTGACCCAGGGATCTGTCTGTCAGATATACTCACACATAAAATTTCATATAAGGAAATATCACATGAAATGTGACATAATATAACCTGAAAATTTCCCCATAAATCTGTAATTATAACTTCCAGATACTAATCATAAAATTTGTACCTGGAAATTTATTACTAAAAATTTCTTTTCCATCAACTTCAACAAAATCCATAGACTCATCACAAGGCAAGCAGCATCCATGATTTGTCACATTTTAATCATAACTATAGTTAGATCTTCCCTGTAGGACCTCAATTTCTTTATCAATGCAATAGAGACCAATTCTGAGTTCTAAAAGATGCAATAAGCTAATGTGTAAATTGTTTCCAATGTATCAAACATTTTTTAGATATAATTCAAGGGTATGTTATTCATTAAATGATGGAGAACAATGAAACCATGTGTAGGATTCTGCAGACTGAAAAACTTTCACACAGAACTTGGGATCAGTAGATGCAGACTCTCATCACTATATAACCCCAGTGTTCACTATAACAGACAAGGATAGCACAATTCAGGAGCGGAGCTCTAAGACTTCTATTCTCAAAGACAGTCTCATCCTAAACCTTCCCATACTCTGAGTATTACTTCTTCAATTTACTCTGGGACCTCTAAACACCAGTAACTATTGTTGTCTCTTTCATTTCTGTATCTTATCTTTATATTCAGGAGTTAAAAAAAGACGTTGACTGTTCCAGTCTCCCCACTTCAAAACTGCCCTAGGGCCTTAAAGTTACTCTATTTCCTATACTCCTTCACCTACATGTACCACTGAAACATAGGAAACAACACTCCCTATATGTTTCTTCTAGTTACTAAATTTGAGAAAAGATTAATTTGGGAACAAAGTAATTAACAAGAATTTTAGTTTTGGTTTTTTGGGAAGTTTTCCAAGTAGTGCAAATATATTCTATCAAAGCTTAAATATTTTTAAATTATGGAAAATAAATGAATGGCCTAAACCTTATCTGCTTTCCCTTCAGTGCTGTACAGCTCTCCTCCAGGACCTGACAACTGAATTGACCGCGCTCATCTGGGAAACGTCTCCGTCCCTGTGGGCTGTAACCTTCTGCTCTCACTCATCTTCATAACCACACTCAAGGCACTCCTAAGCCCATTCCTGCTGATGACTCAATTAATGAGTGAATTCTTTCCCCCCAGGTCTTGGGGTAGATGAGAAAAACAAAAGCTCCTGCACCTCTTCTGCAATACATAGCCTGATCAGAAACTAGAACATCTTAGTGTAATGTTGAAGAAGATTCTTTCTGGATAAGACTTTGAGCCAATATGGCAATTCCAGAGTCCTAGGGTATCTTAAGTGGATCTCAGATCTTTAAATTTCTCTTAGTGTATTTAGAACATCCATGCTAGCCTTAAAAAAAGATGGAGACTTTTATCTTTTTTATGTTTACATGGAGGGACCTGGAACATATTCTGAGTAAAGTATCTCAAGAATGGAAGAAAAAGTATCCAATGTACTCAGTACTTCTATGAAGCCAACTTATATTTACTCACACTTTCTTATAAAAGATAGAACACAACTATACCCCAGGATGAAGAAGAGAAATGGAGTGGGAAGGGAGAGGAAGGGGGAGGTTTGATAGAGGGAGGGTAAACAGCAGGACCACACCTGTGGAGCATATTGCAAGGGTACAAATCAAATCTATCAAGTGTAGAACATAAATGTCTTAACACGATAATCAAGTAAATGAGGCGAAAGCTGTATGAATTAGTTTGATGTAAGTATGTCAAACTGTACAAAAAAACCCACATTGTACTCCACATATGCATAAATGTATTCATGATCTATGTGTACACGACTTAATAAAAAAAAAAGAACATCCATGTTATTAGGACAATTCAAACTATAGGCTGGCAATGGGGTACAATTTCAGTAGAAAAGGCAATTCCCCACTCACCTGTGATTGCATTCTACTAGCTCAGCCAAAAAGTGTCTTCCCCGGGTTTTCACTCACAGAGTCCAAGTACTAATGAGGAAAATCTGAGGAAGATGAAAAAAGAGTGACACTCTAGTTTCGTCCATAATCTCCAGACCTACCTACTTCAAAGCCCCAATATGTCACTTAAACAAACAAACTTGAGTTTAAATAAGCCCATGGAATTGTGAGGTTTTCAAGTCCCCCCAAATCATGACTTGGATTAACTTTAGTCTCACCCTATGTCTTTGGCTATCAATGACAGAATGTGTTCATGATGCTCTTCTGACTCATGCCACATGTATAGGACGTAGTCTCCACATCCAGTAAACACTGTAGAGTTTATGAGAATTAATTATTTCTCATTTGTGCACTTGCAGTCTTTCTTCAGCAGCCATCCCAGCCCTCTGGAGCCTCACTCCATTCCACCTCTTCCCTGCCCCTAGCCCTCTGAATACACTTGTTCTGAACTATTCTATCTCCTCCACATTGGGGTTCTAGCAATATCACTCCCTCAACCCTGACTTCTAGATTTGTTCTGCATGAATTTATCAATCAAGCAACTTCTATGATGAGGTTCATCAATTCAGTGAAATGCTAAAATAATTCTTCAAGGTGAAATGAAAGGATACTAACTGTAAGTTAATTTTAGGTCAGGAGATAATTATTTGACTTATGACATTTGGGGCAGGCCATCTCACAGTAGGTATACTATTCCAAACATGCAATCCCTCTAGATTTGTTAAGTCAATACCATACTAATGGTCAAAGAGGAACTGGCCTCATTCAAGAGATAAATTTCTTGCAATTAGAACAGTGAAAATGAGAGATAAAAATTTAAAAAAAAAACCTTTAAGATAAATTATAAGGAAGGCATGAAGAGACTGTGGAGTTATAATTAAGAGACTAAGGAAGGGAAGGGGATGCTAACATGTACTGGGAATTGCTGAAGACATCTATGAAGAACACACACTTAAACTGAAGCTGACGGATGCTAACAGGAGTCTATGGGGACGAGCTACATTGCAGGTGGGGTGAAAAATGACTGTATCACTCATTTAAGAGATAATAGCAATGACTGTGCTTCTGAGAGGGCAATCAAAACTTTTTGGTCTATGTATTCCTGTTACTTTCTGGTCTAAGATTTCAAGGACTAGATTTAGAGGACAGTACCACTGATCTTTCCAACTCGGAATAAATTATATAATTGACCCAGCTCACTATAAAACAAAAATTTTTGTTTTGAGACAGAGTCTTATTTTGTCACCCTTGGTAGAGTGCGGTAGCATCATAGCTCACAGCAACCTCAAACTCTTGGGCTTACTCACTCTCTTGCCTCAGTCTCTGGAGTAGCTGGGACTACAGGCACCCGCCATGACTGGCTATTTTTTTTTTTTTTTGCAGTTTTTGGCTGGGGCTGGGTTTGAACCCACTACCTCCAGTTATGGTGCTGGCACCTAACTCCTTTGAGCCACAGGCGCCGCCCCACGACTGGCTATTTTTAGAGATGGGGTCTTGCTCTTGCTCAGGCTGGTCATGAACCCGAGAGCTCAGGAAATCCACCTATCTTGGCCTCCCAGAGGTAAAACAAATTCTTAAGTTGTTTGGTTGATAGCTAATAACATGAAACAGACTAAAGTCAGAGTTAAGGAAATGGTATTGTTTGAAACCCCATGTAGTGAAGTTAAGATGTTTGAGGACAGCTGTATCCCAAAGACAGGGGGAGAGTGGAATGTGAAGGGAATGAGGTTTCATATGGGTACTGGAAAACCAATGCTCGTGAATAAGCCAGGAATAACTAATTCCAGAGGTTTCCATGAAGGTGAACAATATAAACACATGATGTGAGTCAGGGAGTCCAAGGATTGTGGTCAGGGGGAATTGAAGAACCTTTGAATGTCATTAGATAATGAACATATAAAACACAATGGTTTTATTAGGTCATTAAATCTGAAATGTCCGATTTTGAATCAAAAGTTTATTTTATCTCTAACAAGAAGTAGTACACTTAATCACAAACTATTGATTAATCAGTTAATCAAACTACTGATGACTGAATTATCAGCATGGTTTTGCCACCTTGTAGCTTGTTTATAGCTACAGCAAAGAAGCCTGGAGAGTGAGTGGTAATAAAATGGCAAAAGGTGTTTTTTGCAGCTTGCTGAGAACTGACTATTTTCCCTGCAAGAAGTGTCCAAAACCTAGAAGTAAGTGGTAATCAGCTGGTGCAAGGTCTAGTAAATATGTTGAATGACAGAATGTTTCCAAGTCCAGCTTCTGTAGTTTAAGCAGCCTTGTTTGTGTGACATAGTCAAATGTTGTTTCCAAGAGGATTGGCCTGTCTCTATTGACCAATCTTGGCTATTTAATCGCAACCATCCTTATCATGTCATCCAGTTGGCTGCAGTAGATATCCACTATAACTGACTAATTTCATGAAGGTGTATCTAATACAAGTGCTGGACCACCAAACAGACACCATTACCTGTTTTTGATGAACATTTGTTTTAGACTATGTTTTGGCACTTCATCTTTATCCAACCATTGTGCTGAATGCTTGCAATTGTCAAAAAGAATCCAATTTTCATCATATTGTAATAAGACACTGTAGAAACGATTCCCCTTTATGCTTCTAATAGCAAAAAAAAAAAAAAAAAAAAAAAAAAGCAGTAAGCTTCAAGATGATTTCTCTTCTGATGCTCATTTAAGTGAATTCACACAAGCTTCTTTACCTTGCTGATTTGTATCAAACACAGTCCAACACTGAAGGAATAGTAACATTAAAACTTGCTGACAAGGAGGCTGAGATGGATTCAATTCCACTACAGATTTAGACTTATCATTATCAACCATGGCGGCAGGTCACCCATGTGGCCCATTTTCAAAATTAAATCATGAGAACCGAATTTCTCAAACCATCAACAGATGTGCTATGCATTCATTAGCCACATCCTGCCCAAACACTTTGTTGATATTTTGAGTTGTCTGACCTGCACTGGCTCCACAACAGAAATCATATTAAAAAATAAAATGAATTTCTTACTTATCCATGGTTTTACTAAATTGCTCTAAAATTTTTTTTGAAAGATAATCACAAGCCAAAACATGTGTTTGAGAGAATGAGAATGTACTTTCACAATTAAAAAACAAAAAAACAAGAAGTATCAAAGTGAAACCTAGATATCAACTGTCTTATACTTAAGGAAATTGGATATTCATACTGAATAGCCTAACAGTTTACTTATATGCAGTTTGGAAGTATTCACATCAACTTTACAAGTAGCATTAGCCAAAGCCATCACATCACTTATTTATTTATTTACTTATTTTTTGAGACAGAGTTTCACTTTGTCACCCTGGGTACAGCACTGTGGCGTCATAGATCACAGCAACCTCAAACTCTTGAGGTCAAGTTCTCTTTCCTCAGCTTTCCAAGTAGCTGAGACTATACGTGTCCACCACAACACCCAGCTATTTTTAGAGATGAAACCTTGCTCTGGCTGGTCTTGAACCTGTGAGCTCAGTCAATCCACCTGTCTTGGCCTCCCAGAGTGCTAGAATTACAGGCATGAGCCACTGTGCCCAGCCCCATCACACTTTTAAAACCAGGAGAGGAGAAAGAGAAGTTTCCCCTCAATTCACAGTTTTCTGGAAAATCTTATATTTAATTAGGTTCAACCAATGAGGAAATATGAATTTTTCCCTGCCTGAAAATAACAACAATCTTCATTCTGTCTTTGAGTTTTGGGTGTTAGTGACAGCAACCAGAGGCCAAAGTGTCCTTCTCATTAGTTTCAACAAATTTCACTGAGTACATTTTCAAAAATTATGAATACAATTTTAGCCATTTAGCTATTTATTATGGCCACCAGATCATCACAGATATGGCTAACCAATAACAGAACACTGTAAAGTGGAATTCACTTCAATAATTGAATGAATGACTCAATACTAGAAAACCTATTACTTTCATTTAGTGATTTTACAGATTAAAAAAAAATAAACCACATCAATAGATACTTGAAAAAAGTATTTTAGGCTGGGAGAGGTGGCTCACGCCTGTAATCCTAGTACTCTGGGGGGCTGAGGTGGGTGGATTTCCTGAGCTCACAGGCTCAAGACCAGCCTGAGCAAGTTCGAGACCCCATCTCTAAAGAATAGCTGGAACTTGTCATGGGCGCCTGTAGTCCCAGCTACTAGGGAGTCTGAGACAAAAGAAATCTCTTGAGCCCAAGAGTTTGAGGTTGTTGTGAGCTATGCTGTCACAGCGCTCTACCTCTGTCTCAAAAAAAAAAGTACTTTAATTAAGTCTTTAAAAATAATTTAAAATCTTTAAAAATCATGAAATGAGGGGAATACCAAAGTGTGTGTGTGTGTCTGAGTGCATGTGTATATGTTTGTATGATTAAACTACAGAATATAAAATGTATCAAAAATAAGATAAAAATTTATTTTAAATATTTATGTCTATAAAAAAATAAAATGCCCTGAATCTCACAAGTAATTTGTGAAATGAGAATAAAAAATGAGTTGTCATCTTATCCAAATCTATAAAATATATATATATATATATATATATAGTATCAAGTCCTAGTTAAAGGAATAGGGAAACTTCACATATTGGTGGGGGTATCTATGCAATTTTGGGGTACATCTTGCTAGGATACATTATAACATGAAATGCACCACTCCTTGACCCAGCAATCAAACCCTAACTTATCTAATGTGGAAGAAATTTTATTTAGGTATCTGCCGGGCAGTCAGTGTGCTAAGAGACAGCCAGTGCAATATTCTTCACAAATCCAAGAATTTCAAGGTCTCCTTGGAAAGGATGTGCTATTATGAGCAGTTCACAAAATCTCCTACTATTAGACATTTAGGTGGATTGCATTTTTAAAAAGTAATTATGGAATAAAATATACTCCATCATATGGATAAAATACTGCCTTAATTTGTCACATCTATTCATTTCTAAACTCTCTCTTCTCTCCCATATCATTAATACTTTGAGGCTAGATCCACAATCTCTTTAAACTTCAAATGCATTATACAATCAGATAGAAAAATTTCTCCTCAGGGACCTTCTTTTCCAGGATTTGCCACATTAACTCAGTACCATTATACGTAGGTTCTTTAATCTTGGTTCAGAGATCTGACAGTGCATCCAGACATGGTCCCTAAATAATCAATACAGTCAAACCTCACTGATACCACTGGGCCCACTCCTCATCTCTAATCCATGTTGGAGTGTGAAGTCCTTCTCATACAACCCCCCAAATAGAACTTTACAAGTTCTATATCACTGGTTCACAGTACCATGGTATCAGTATGAAAATGGGAAGGGGTGAAGGGAAGGCTAAGGGTGAATTAGGAAATCTGTTGCACAGACTACTTGAAAGTTTGAAATTAGCACATCCTAAAAACAGGATTTCAGGAAAGAAAAGAACAATTAATGAATTACATGACTTTTTCTAGTGAAAATGCCATTCCTGTTTTTCATTTTCCTTCTCTGATCTTTCTTGGGCATGATCAGTCTTGAATAGTCATTCCTGGGTATCAGCAATATGCGTTTCAGGGCTTCCAACAGACGTCTCCTCTTCCTTTATCAGAATTACACACGTGGGACACAATTCAACATGTGAAAAAGAAAGTCTGCTTTCCACCAAACCATCAGGGATTCAGGACAATAAACTTCAGCACCTTTCTCCTGAATGTCTTCCCACCCTAGTGAAGCCCATACTCTACATAGCAGATTTGGTTATACAAACTGGGCTGACCCTGCTAAACACAAGGTCACTAGTGAGACTGGGTGAGGATTTTCCTTTTTCCAGTTCCCAAGCTTCCTAGGCTCTCTCCCATTCTTGGATCCTGAACCCCCAAGCTGCACTGCCCTTCCTTCTCCAAGGTCCTTTCCCAGAAGCAAGAGCCACCTCTTCAATGGAGAGATATCTTTGTTCTATGCTTAGTTGAAGAAGTCTTGCTCTCTTCCCTATCTAGATGTCATATTTGTGTTTTGGGTCAGGTAGAAAGGTGAAATGGAAAATCCAGTAGAGTATCTGTCTCACAGGAATGACATACCTTGGATGGGACAGTGGTAGTGTTTTCCCTCATCATATCTGCTCCAAAAGATATCAGATAATATCTCATACTCCTGAGCAAGAGCAGCCACATTCATTAAAAGCATTTCATTTCCTTTCCAGAGCACCACATTAAACCATCAAAAACTATAAAAATTAAAAAGACCTAATTATTTGCACTTAAAAGAGGTAAGTTTTGGTAGTATCTATAAGCAATTTATTCATTATGAACAGATGGAATCTGTTCCAGGACAATCCAGCCCATCCTTCAATATTAGCAGAAAACAGAACCAAACCCCACCCCCCCCACCAAAAACAAACAAACAAACCTTGAAGAGATCCTATACTTAATTGGAAACTTTAGTCCACAGCTTATCTGATCAAAAGATCACATAAGGGAAGAAGGAAACTACTAAATATTAGACTAACTCTTTAAACTCGGTTTTGACTGTTAAGATAGAAAAAAATCATTAATATACTTACCAAGTACACTAAATTAGCATACAAAATTTTACTAAACAAAAAATATTTTCAATATATAATTAAGACTACTGAAGTATCAAGGCTTCATAATTTGAACCTGACACAGCAAATTTAAAAAGTGGATTTGGGAATTTCCCTCCTGCTGCCCTCTGCTTCTGGCAGTAGGCCTCTCCTCCATCTCTCCGCCGATCCCATTTCCCTCTATTTTCATTTATTACACTGCTTCTTGTCCAGGTCACTCTTCTTCATTCACACTGTGTTTTTCCCAATTCCTCACACACACCTACTTCCCGTCTTCTAAACTACCCTTCCTTTCTCTCCCTCGATGGCTGCCTTTTTTCTCCTCATCCCTTGCCTCCACCTCGACATCCACAGTGATGCAACGGAGGATAAACACTACGACATCCGCAGCCCGTGGGGTGGGACTGTGCCGGATACCGGGGAGACACAGTACAGGGCCGGTCGTCTCTCAAAGCACCCGGCTCAGGGGGCCTCCGAGAGGCGGCGACTCCTCAGAGGAAGGTCTGGGGAGCCGCAGTAACTAGCCCCTGGAGCCCGAGGATGGGAAGGGTCTCAAGGAGAACCGGAGTAGGGCTGCCCTGAGGCCGAGAGGGACGAGAGTGGGGCGAAGGGCAACAATTCACGTCCCTATCAAACACTAGACGCCGCGCGGGATGCAGCGGGCGGCCCGTAAAGACACAGGGCGGAAAGGCAGTGGGAGGTCAGCCTCGGGGCGTTTTAACCGGAACCGGAATCGAACACAGCCGCGGCCGCAGCAGCGGCGCTTAAGGCCTCGGGGCGTCTCGGACACCGCCGGACTCCCCGCCAGCGGGTTAGCGGATGCGGGCCCAGAGACGTCCGCGGGGACTTCCTGACCCCAGCTGTGGAGGACCGGGCAGAGAGGAGCTTGCAGTGCAGAGTTCGACTACACAAAGTGGAGTGTACTCACCGGAGGGGTCCTCGGCTCCGCAGAATCGTTTCCGGGTCCACCGGAAATAGGTTCGGAGGGGTCGAGGCCTCGGCCGAGGGGGGCGGGTCCCGAACGGGGCTGGGCCTCGAGCAGAGCTGGGGAGCGGCGCGGGGCGGGGCCTCAGGCAGAGTAGCGGATCCCGGACCCGGACTCGGACTCCAGGCAGAGGGGCGCGGCCGCGCAGGGCTTCGGGCTGGGTGGCGAGTCCTGACCCGGCTCGCCCAGTGCAGAGGGGCGGGGCCTGCGCGGGGCGCGGCCTCGGGCTCCCTCCGCCCAGCGCTTTTCCGGTCCGCCACTCCTTCCGGCCGACGGAGCTGGAGTCTCCTCTTTTGGATCCGCGCGAATGTCTTTGTTACCGGGAGGAGTAGGGCAGCTTTCGTCCAACTTCAAACTAAGATTTGCATACAATTCCTTGTGGGCTGATGATGAAGACTGTGGTGGTGGAGACTGTCAGCTAGTGATGGAGACTGTGATGACCGTATTCCAGCTATTAATGCTGCAGAAGTCTTTTAAAGATTATTTTCGAGGGCGGCCCCTGTGGCTCAAAGGAATAGGGCGTTGGCCCTATATACCAGAGGTGGCGGTTCAAACCCAACCCCAGCCCCCCCCCAAAAGATTATTTTTGAAAAAGGGCACATTCCTGAATTTTCCAAAGCTAATACTAGTTTGTCAAACTTTTAAGTTTATTTAATATTAATAATATTATACTTCAAATAATTTTAAATTTTGGAAGATAACTTTCTCTCCGTCAGTGGAACAGAAACTACTCTGGGGCCCATGCACGGTAGAGAGACAGCCCCTGCCCACTGCTCCATTTCTCCAGAGCTGAATTCACTTTCCCAGAGCCCAGCTCGTTTCTTTTAGACCTGCCATAAACTAGACTCTGATTTATGAGCCAGGATTGTACAGTATTTCAGGTGAGGCCATTTTCACCCCGAAAAGTATTTCGACTCCCCATTTAGTTTTTCTTCACTGTCATCTCTTAGTTACATTAAGAGTTGAACAATAGAATTCTGTCTATGTTACCATCTCCATCAAATCTACATTTGAGTTCATGTATAAGATGTACTTGGGAATTCATAATCACAAAGATGTGGAAACAACCCAAGAGTCCACCAATACATGAAGGGATTAATAAAATGGTGGTCTGTGCATACTATGGAGTACTACTTAGACATAAAAACTGATCTAATGTCTTTTTCAACAATTTCGATAGAACTGTAAACCATTCTTCTAAGTGACGCATCACAGGAATGGAGAAACACACATGTACTTAATACTAAGTTGGAACTAATTGTTCAACACTTAAAGTACATACATGGGTGTAAATCTCAATGCAAGTCAAGCTAGGAGAGGGGGAGGAGGGGATGAGTGAATTCATACCTGTTAAGTACAGTCCACACCATCTGAGTGAAGGGCACCCTTATAACTTTGACTGAATTTGTACAAAAAACAAAGTATGTAAACAAAACATGTACCCCATAATATTCTGAAATAAGTTATTTTTTTTAAACCCTTAGATACATTGCTTGTAGAGAACAAGTAATTACTAACCAAATATTATTATCTGGTTGTTTTGACATTATTTATGTAGCTTGTTAACATTAATCAAACCTCCCATTTCCTAACGCATTTAGACTAGTTTACACTTTGGAAAGCAGTAGGGCTTTCATACACATGTTTCATACAATAGAAATGAGCAAAATTCAACATGTTTCATTACATCAGTGGGAACATTAGAAATGGAGAAGATTACCTGGACCTAGGGACTCTGGCCTGTAATTTCAGCTTCTTGGGAGGCTGAGGTGAGAGGAGCCCAGGAAATGAAGGCACACTTGGGTAACAGTAAAACCCTGTCTCAAAAAAAAAAGGAAAAAGAGGAAATAGATTTCCCTCTAATCCTGTCCTTATTGGATCCTTTAATCACTTTTAAATAAGAGATTTTCTACAAGGGAAAAAAAAAAAAACTATGTACTTGGGGAGTCTCCAAATCAACTGAAGAGAGTCTTGTGAGATCCATGTGGGACACATATCTCCTTTGGGAAGCTGAGCCCATGAGATGGCTGAGTAAGATGGGTGTTTCCACCATGTTTCTGAGTCTGTTTCTTTGACTGGGGATTAGATATGATGAAAGCTGAGGGGTGAAAAGAAGTGAAGGTGCATTAAAATATAATTTCTTCCATTTGTGTGTTCGTTATTATTATAAGCAAAAGAGTTTTCAGTATGCCTTGGAAAAACTACCTCAGGCTTGGCGCCTGTGGCTCAAGCGGCGAAGGCTCCAGCCACATACACCTAAGGTGGCAGGTTCAAATCCCCAGCCCGGGCCAGCCAAACAACAATTGATGGCTGCAACCAAAAAATGGCCGGGTGTTGTGGCAGACACCTGTAGTCCCAGCTACTTGGGGGGCTGAGGCAGGAGACTCACTTGAGCCCAGAAGTTGGAGGTTGCTGTGAGCTGTGATGCCATGGCACTCTACCCAGGGGGATAGCTTGAGGCTCCTTCTAAAAAAAAAGAAAAACTACCTCAGTAAAGAGCCAATTTCTTTTTCAGGAGAAAACACAACCCAGTGTAACTAGTGTTTAACAGAGATCATTCCTAAACCACTCTTCATTGGGTTGGAAAGTTGTGTCCATATAATTATGTGAATTTTGATTTATATGGGTCATTTTTGTTGGTAAATTAATGAACATTATCTAAAAGTCTCTGAAGAAAGAACTCTGTGAACATATTTCTGCCACACACCCACACACCATTTGTGGACCTTGTTGAAAAGTACTAAAGATTGTTGATGAGTTCACAGTGTGCAGGTAGCAAGAAGTGATATGAACAGACTCAGTCAATGACAGAACCCATCAGTGATCTGTGCAGACTCAAGGAATGACAGAACCTAATGGCCAGAGTTAGGGTTCCTCTCTTATCTTAGTAATTACTGTCCTATCTCACTGAACGTTGGCACTGAGAATAGATAACTATAGATAAATATAAGAATGTCAGAACTTTAAATGACTTCCTCCTCCCATCCCCCAAATCTAGAGTCTCTCTCTTCCAGACACTTGGGCAGACTATTTCTTAGCTGCCTAGTTAAACTTCTATCACAGGGAATTTCTTGCTGTCCCTCAGGAGCCAGCCTAGCACCCAAGAAGAGCAGGTGTGGATTCTCTGGCTTTCAACACAGAGCTTCATCTCTACCTGGTTAACTGTGTGGATGAGATATGAGAAGTATCCTGATATTTCTGTGTCTGTTGGGTTTCTCCCTTGAGTACTGGGAAGTAGACCTGAGCAGGGACAGCTGGGGGTGGTACAAAAGGTGGATTTTCACTGAAGTTTATAATTCATTCTGTTTGTGAAACAAATGCATTCAATTAAAGTTTAATGCTTTGAACTCCCTACTTTTATTCTCTTAACTCTTTTTCCATGTCAAATTGTAGAGATCAATGTGACCTCAGGTTAGCATTTCCTGATGGGGTACACATTAATCCAGGCATTAGTACTATTGTTGAAACTTGGAGTGTTTCTAATGCGTCTTATCATATAAGCTGTTTTAGAATGGACATCCCTGTCCACTTCCCTTTGTCCTTTACCTGGCCATTTCCTCAGCCATTCCTGAAAGCTGAGTTTCAGGAAAGGTGGCCCTGTGTGGCAGGGCGGTGGTGGTGGGGGGACTATAAATCCTGGAGTGCTCTCCTGCCCATGAGCCCATATCAGAGCAGGACTGTGTGAGCTGGGCTGGGGTCAGCACCCCTTGCCCCAGAGAAACCAGAACCTGCCCTTTCCCTCAAGAGCTCTAAAGCTAGCCTGCAAGAGACACAGGCACAGAGATATTCCTTCCTGTAGGATCACAAGGGTAACAGAATGGAGAGCCATGGCTGTGGAACCCAAGCATGGGGCAGGGGAACTGGTGGTATATGGCAAAGTGAAGAACAGGACCCTCAGGGTCCCACATTTTGAGGCCATTGAACTGCTCACCTATGGCCTGGCAATCCACAGGTCTGGGAGAAGGAAGAAGGGGAGGACACTGGGACTAGCCTTCTGGGGGCTCTAAAGATGTGCTGCCAGCAAGATATGTGGAGTGGGGGGACAGCCACCTGCCTACATGGCACAGAGTACTGGGACCCCAACTCCCCCAGACTCCCACTGTGGCTACAGTGACTACTATGCTGCTGCAAGTGATGCCACCCCTCAGCCCTCCCAGGCAACTTGCAGAACCCTGAACCCGTCCCAGCCTAGGTCTGTGGCCTTTCCTGCTATGTTTCCCCCAAAATTACCTATCCCTAAAATAAGCCCTAGCAGGATTTCTATGCATTTGTTAAATATAAGCCCTACCCCGATAATAAGACCTAATGAGGAAGACTGGAATACCTTTTATCTGCCACAGTTCCTTTCTCTGACCCATTAGCACTTGTGTGGGTGCGCAATGGTAACCCCAGTTGCAGGCATCCTATTGTGCACGTGCAAATGGCTAGGGGAAAGGAGTTCACGTATCACTAGCACCAGCCCCACCAACAAGATCGGCTCTCTCTGTCAGGTTCCAGAAGAAGATGACTTAACTGTATTTGAATAAATGTAAATTGTTGTTTTATACTTAATAAAAATAAGACATCCCCTGAAAATAAGCTCAAGTGTGCCTTCTTGAGAAAAAATAAATATAAGACAGTGTCTTATTTTTAGGGAAACATGGTACAACCAGCAGAGCCCAGAGACTCAGCAAGGAGGAGGCTGAGTGGCAGATGGTCACAAAGGCACAAGCTGCATGGGCATTGTATTCCTCCTGACTTCACAGACAGTGGGCTCAGGCCTGATATTTCTAGAATCCTGACTTATCCAGCTGCATTCTATGCATTTTGGAGAAAATGGTCTCTGGAACTGATCCTTTGCTGAGCCTGGACCTCTGGAGAAGGGGCACCATGCAGTGGCCAGAGGTCCTACCTGGGTAGGGGCTGAAGGTCCCTCCTCACCTCCTCTGCTTACCCTCTCTGCCTCCACCTTCAGCATCCTGCCCATGGCCCCCATGGATTCTCC